GGGGGGAGGACGAGGGAGAGATGCAGGGAGAGAGGGGAGAGGCGCAGGGGGTCGAGAAGGAGTGCGTGGCGACGTCCAAAGCGTCCGGGCGTTGAGGGGGAGTGGCAGGCAGGCAGGGTGGTGGCGTGGAGATCTCGGCGGCATCGCGGTGTCCCTCCGCTGCCTACTGGCACGAGGAGGAAGGCGACAGGGAGCCAGGCGGTGGTGGGCTAGGCCGGAACAGGAGCTGGGCCGGCTGGGCTGCCAGGTGAGCGCAAGGTAAGTTCTCTCTCTCTCTCTGGTTTCTCTATTTTAATTTCTGTTTTCTATTATTCTGCAACTTTGTGACTTTATTAAAAATACTAGACCAAACCCAAAAATTATGAAACTGATCAATGCCACTGTTTGAAATATAACCAACAGCAAACATTTTAGTTTATGATTATTTGAGCATTTAAAATATTTCATAGCATTTAAATGCCCAAATGCAAATACTATAAGATTTAAGTCAGAGCCCAAATATGTCATGGAAAAAATGTGCAACACCCCTGGTTATGTCTCCAGCATTTTCCAGAAATGATGAACATTTTTTAAAGCCATTTGGATTCACTGAAAAATATTTTAATTGAATTCATTTGGTGCTAGGGTTTAGGCAATCCCCATTTCAAGTTTCATAAAATTTAAACATGATGCATGGATACTAATGCAAAGACAAGCAAGGCCTGAACTGGGGATGTGACAACTATGTAAAGAGTACCTGCACACAAATAACACATAGTCGCCACCCGAGGCGTTAAAGGGGTTGTCAATCCCTTTCGGCTAACGGTCCCAGAAATTGACGAGTTGATGGGATAAAATTGTAGTAGATTGAAAGATGCAAATAAAAGCAAATAAAACGCGCCAAGGTATTTTTCTGTTTTTGATAATATAGATCTGAAAGTAAAAGTTGCAAATAGAGGAAAAAGCAAATGGCAATATAGATCGGAAAGTATATGATAGTAAAATAGACCCGGGGGCCGTAGAGTTAACTAGTGGCTTCTCTCGCGAAAATAACATGCACAGGGTAGACAAATTACTATTGGGAAATTGATCGAAAAGCAAATAATTATGATCATATCCAAGACAATGATCATGTATATAGGCATCACGTCCAAGATTAGTAGACCGACTCCTCCCTGCATCTACCACTATTACTCCACACATCAACCGCTATCCAGCATGCATCTAGTGTATTAAGTTCATGGAAAAATGGAGTAATGCAATAAGAACGATGAGATGATGTAGACAATATCTATTCATGTAGGAATAGACCCCATCTTTTTATCCGTAATAGAAACGATGCATGTGTGCCTTGCTGCCCCTTCTGTCACTGGGAAAGGACACTACAAGATCGAACCCATCACAAAGCACCTCTTCCCACTGCAAGATAAATAGATCAAGTTGGCAAAACAAAACTCAAATATCAGAGAAGAAATACGAGGCTATAATAATTAAGAATGGATATTAAATCAAGGCAAATCTGATCATAAACTTACAATTCATCGGATCCCAAGTCATTACATAAAATAGATCTCCAAGAGACCATTGTATTGAGATACAAAGAGA